CTCGTAGGTAGACCTTGGCGCAGCGCCCACCACCACAAGGATATGAGGGCAAGGGGTAGCTATGGGAACCACAGGAGAAGCAGGCACACAGCAGCAGAACCCCCAGTGAATTAAAACATCTTGATTAAATAAAACTAAGTATCAAAAGGTAAACTAGCAACACATAATGTGTACACAGTGAGCCCTCAAGAAGAAAGTGCATTGAGATAAGACTTTGATATTATGCAGAGATAGGACAGTCTTGTGAAAAGGACATTAGACTAGAATTCAAGATGTAGCAGTTTACACATGAAGCTTCTTCAAATTCTGTGACTGATTCTATCTGCTTTAGCTTCAAGGGAGAGGCCTCCCACACACAATGACTTCTTACTGCCTTTCACGGACACCCTGCAGGGGCCACCCCTGGGGGGATGAGTGAGGAAGGAGGGTGGCCAGTGGCAGGAGAACCAGGGCACAGCCCCTATGCCACAGGAGAGCCGTTCGCTCTTCTTTCTTTCACCCAGTTTCCTGTGTTCTATTAGGAGAGAGAGCAGCTGCTGAATCCACTGACCTGTAGTGACTCTCACTGTACAGGCAGCACAGACTGAGCTGCAAAGAGAGAAACGACTTGCCCAAGAACAGGCAGGCAACACTGGAGCAGAGGCAGGATGAAGATCCTGCCCACATTCATCCTCTTTTTATTAGGACCTCTTATCTTCAATACAACTCAAAGGAATTTTCATTTATTTTGCTTACATGGCCATTAAAACTGAACATAAAAAGCACACACTTCTCATATCCTTTAAAAAAACTTCTAGCTAGCTAGAAGTTGTTTTGGATGGCTAAGTTTGCTTTTGTGTTACTTATAACACAGAGATATATTTAATTCTGTGTTAATTTAGTTCTTCCATTCAACAAGCGTACTGAATACCTGATTCATACCAGGCACTGAGCATGCAGTTACATACTCAGGTACATGCATGTTTTGATCTCAAGGATGTGGTAACACAGGACAGATGTAAACCCAAGATTGGAACACAGCACAGAAACTTCCACAACAGCTGCTTAGAAGGGTAATGTGGCATGACTGCTTCTACTGGGAAAACAACTGCCCAGAGAGAAAGTCCTGTGAGTGAAGGCCTAAAGGATAAGTAAGCTCCCACTCATTTATTAGAAAATCAGGGGAGGAAAGACCACCCTGGCCAGAGGGGCAGATTTTAAGCTTAGTTAACGTGGAAGCTGGGGACAGTGAGCCATGGGAGATGAGGATAGAGAGGTGCCCAGTGAACTCTGGAAAGGGAAGAAGTCTGGGGACAAAATCAGAGGGTAGCTTAGAGGAGGCGTTAAGAGCAGGCAAGGCTGGTGACAGGAAGGCCAGTAAGGAGTTTAGGACAATAATCAAGCTAAGAGGTGAAGGCCTGACAAATTATAACCGCGGCAACCAGAATAGAAAGCAAAGATTAAACTTAATATCGCCTTTGGAGAAATTAACAGGACTTGATAAAGAACAGGGAGAGGATGATAAGATGTTTAAGGATGACTCCATTTTTGGCTTAAGTGACTGAGATGGAAGGTTATGTCGTGAATCAGGTTTTAAGGAGAGAATGCAAAGTTTATTTTACACACATGGAACTCTACCACTGATGGGAGCCTTGAGAGCTGGTGATCTGTAGAGTTGTGTGAGTGTTTAAATGTGTGACATGCACATAGCAGCATTACAGTCTTCAGGAATGTCTAGCTTCCCTAGTTTAGAAGTAGAGAAATTGGATGTAACTTTGAAATGTTAGTCTGGTTCTGATCATTCCTGAAGTTCCCTAGGATGATGGCCAAACGGGGGTGGGGGTGGGGGTGGGGGAAAGAGGAGAACCATTCTGATCTTTGGAAGGGAGCAGTAAACATTTATTACACTAACCCCCCTAGAGGGATGCTGGAAGCTTGCTACGGTCAGGTCAGATTTACAGTGAAAAGCCCTGTGGAGAGTACATCATTCGAAATGCCAGGCTGGATGAAACACAAGCTGGAATCAAGACTGCCGGGAGAACTATCAATAACCTCAGATATGCAGATGACACCACCCTTATGGCAGAAAGTGAAGAACTAAAGAGCCTCTTGATGAAAGTGAAAGAGGACAGTGAAAAAGCTGGCTTAAAGCTCAACATTCAGAAAACTAAGATCACAGCATCCGGTCCAATCACTTCATGGCAAACAGATGGGGAAACAATGGAAACAGTGAGAGACTTTATTTTTGGGGGCTCCAAAATCACTGCAGATGGTGACTGCAGCCATGAAATTAAAAGATGCTTACTCCTTGGAAGAAAAGCTATGACCAATCTAGACAGCATATTAAAAAGCAAAGATATTACTTTGCTGACAAAGGTCTGTCTAGTCAAAGCTATGGTTTTTCCAGTAGTCATGTATGGATGTGAGAGTTGGACCATAAAGAAAGCTGAGCGCTGAAGAATTGATGCTTTTGAACTGTGGTGTTGGAGAAGACCCTTGAGAGTTCCTTGGGCTGCAAGGAGATCAAATTTCCTTTAGTCAATCCTAAAGGAAATCAGTCCTGAATATGCACTGGAGGGACTGATGCTGAAGCTGAAGCTGCAATACTTTGGCCACTTGATGTGAAGAGTCAACTCAATGGAACAGACCCTGATGCTGGAAAAGACTGAAGGCAGGAGAAGGGGATGAGGATGAGATAGTTGGATGGCATCAATGAATCAATGGACATGAGTTTGAGCAAATTCAGGGAGATAGTGAAGGACAAGGGAGCCTGGTGTGCAGCAGTCCAGGGGGTCATGAAGAATCGGACACGACTGAGAGACTGAACAATAACAAATTCTTGGGATTTCTAGAGATAATCATATCATCCACAAATACAAACAATTTATTCCTTCCTTTTTGAGCTGTATGCCTTTATTTCATGCCTTTATGCCATGTACTTATATCTTCTGGAAGGAACAAAACAGAAGAACAACACAACTTTCTGGATTGCCACTTACTCTTGAACCCAATCTGAGGTATATGAGGCAAAAATAAACCAAGGGAACGCCTGCTGCATCATTCCTCAGATCCCAGGGTCTCTAGCTGGTTGGCCTTCTTCTTGCCACTTTTCGGTCTTCTTATAACTGTTTTACATATAATGCTCAGAGTTTTAGTTGTACTCAGCAGGAAAAGTAGGTGGAAAGTCAGTCTACTCCATCTTCCCAGATGCAGGAGTCCTTTGGTTATTATTTTCATGTTCAATTAGTTTCTAAGTTGTGTACAGATCCATGTTTGATTTCCTTTGGATCATAGAATGGACTTCCATCTTCTTAAAATATTTTATCATGAAACATTTTTAGCCTTTAGGTAAGATGTCACATGTTATATTATGCAATGCTTATCTATGAATCCTTTAAAATGGAATTTAAAAAGATTATCTCCTAATATCCTTGGCTTCTGAGAGGCAAATTAATTTACATGATTAAGAAAAGTGCTGCTCTCTCAAGAGTATGGAAAGTTCCTGTCCTGATCAAATTTAAACAATTATTTTCATTATTAACCACAGATACAGAATTTCTGTAATAATGCTGCCAAAACATTAATGAAATATACTTCATTTAAATGTTCAAATGACAATAGTAATTTTCTACTTATAAATAAATACCTACTGTGACTTGTTAAAAATTAGAAAATGAACACAAAGGCTTCAGAGTTAAAACCAGAAATTCAGAATTACTTTCCGGTAGTGGCTGTCTTGTCATCTGACTTCACAGGACAGCTCTTTCATAAAATACAGATAGTTCTGGTTTTAAGGTTCTCAAAATCAACATGAAAATCCACTGTTAATAATCAATAAGGATATGTTTCCTATGTCTTGAAACCACCACAACATACTAGCCCCTCCAGTTTCAAATCCAACCTCTAGGAAAGGAATGCATCACTGAAACAGGCAGCTTTCTGTCTATTTTAAGTTAAACAAGAGGACAGAATGGATTTCTCTCTGGGTTTGCTGTGTAAAGTAAAACATTTTCATATGTCATCAAGTTGCAATTAATTGGCAACACAGGTAAAGCATTAGTTGGAACCTGTAAGAAACATATTAAGGACAATCACAGAGCACCTCATTAAGTGGAGATGAGCAGGATATCTTACCTAAGAATTCTTCAGTGAAAATACCAATGCTGCTGAACTACTATAGTCAACTTCCGGGTTCAACAGGTAATTAGACGAGTATTATTCCTAATAAATATGTATTCACTGTTTACTATGTGGAAGGCACAGTGCTAGCTGTGGCCTAGGACCCCTATCCTTAAAGCAAGTGCTTCTCCAATCATTTCTGCAGCTTTTCTGCAGCTGCTTTTAAAATTCTTACCCATAAGGTGGAAACTGCAGCATTACTCTGTGCAAACTACATATTTTCTTAAGTCTCATTTCTCCTTTTTATGAACTAGAATGTAGTTATACATTTACCTTAGAGAGGATTAACTGCCTACTCCTGCATGTGTAGTAAATAAATCCCATATCCCACACACACAAAGCACAGAAAAATATGGTGTGTTCAGAAAACTTCCACAGTTCAGGTTGACAACAGAAATAATTAAGATACCACAAATCTTATTTATTAAATATGGCAGAATTCCCATGTTGTATATAATGTTACATAGCAATAATACTTCCTCTATTTAAACAGAAGTAGATGCAAACAGCTACAAATGTTTAGTGTCTTGAAACACTTCCAAATTTCATTAGTGTTCTTTTTTCCCCCTCTTCAACCACATTAAAAAAGATTTTAGGGAAAGTATATACAAAGATCTGTTAAATCATTCTGACTTCAAGAGACAGCTCAGAATATAATTTAAGAATCTGATATAACATGAATGTTACAAGGTATTTCAAAGGAAAGAAATTTTCTACTTTCAACAACTATTTGTGTCTAAAAAGCTTATGGGTTATAACCAACAAATGATTGCTATTACGTAGAAAGATAAACATTTAGGTAAATAAATGTTACCTAAATAAATAAAAGGCCTTTTATTTACCTCTTCTACATTAGAAGCAGTCTTAGCAGAAGTTTCCATGAAGATAAGTCCATGTTCTCGTGCAAAAGCTTCACCTTCTTCTTTTTTTACTTCTCTTCTAGATTCTAAATCACTGAACATGGGAAAGAAAGGGCTCAGTTATCAACCAACACAATGCAATTAGATTCAAAGTTGTGCTGACCATTCTTCCAATTAATTTTTCACACATAATAATTAACTGCATTATCCTGTGTATTATGAGAGTCAAAGTGCACACTGCTTAGTTTCAAAGAACTAACAATCCAAGCAAAGAAAGATTCTAAGTTAGAGTCCTAGAATGCTAAAACCAGAGAAACTCAAAGGAAACATCAAGCCTCAAATCCCACCTCTGAGTACAGTGGCTTCCGAAAGAAGGGAGCTATCTTACTCAACATGATGAGAGAGCAAAATTACACTAGACTTCTCATCCTTCAGCCAGACTCAGAGTCTGAATATGATTAAAAATAAGTCACACAATCCTCAGAAACTACAGGAAGTTGACTGATAAAATTCAAAGTACTACTGAAACATTAATTATTCATCCTAGTTCGTTTAATTCCCAATAAAACTGTTAATCAAAGGAGAGAGAGAGAAAAATAGAAGTCTAATTTAGAAATTTTGGACAAAAGTACAGTATTCATTTTTATCATATTGGAATCGTATTAGTTAAGGTAGGGGTAAAAAGTAGCTGTCTCTTCTTCAAGTGTGTTTTATTTATAAAAAAAAAAAATTAAACTCAGTCTGCGTAACTGGATGAAGATAATCTAACCAACTGAAATCTGGGGCCCTCCTGCATGCCAAGCCATTTCCAGGATCTGGGGACAGATCACTCATCAAATTAGACATAAAAACCTCGCCGCACCCCCTACCTGCGCCGCCCCGGCCACCTCATGGAGCTTACATTCTAGCAGGAATAAAAAATAAGGGTTGGGGGACACCCTCAACAGTGATATGGCAGTGTGCTACTGAAATTCAGCTCCCTTATCTTATCTCATTCTTAAGAGTTTTGTTATCTGAAATTAGCCTTAAGTTATACAGAATCTTCAAGAAAATACTCTCCCTTAACTGCCCTTCATCCCATTTTATATGTATGCCACGTTTTATTTATTTAAATAATCCCTTATTTGGGGATATTTCAAGTTAGTCACAAGTTTTCCCTACCAGCATCTCTGATGATGTCTGCATTTGCAAATGTTATATTAGCAGAGGGTTAAGGGTATGTTCATATAAGGGGTTGTTTGAAAAAAAGAAGGTGGCACTTCAGTGTTCACTTCTTCTGTTTTAGCACTCATTTCTTCAGTTTTCCAGGCATAAAATCATATTGTGGTCTTTGACTTTTCACCCCACTAATCCCACTTAAATCACTTTTACTACTTAAGTATCTTTCTTTTCTAAACCATTTTCTTAACTTATGCTTTCTTGTTTAGGGTATTCTAATCCTTTACCTATTAAAAACTTTCATCTTTGTAGACTCTGCTTTCTAATTTCTTGTATAATCAATTCCAAATGCCACAGTTAAGAAAAATCTATGTCATCTGTCATTCTGACTAGGTCACTATCTTCCTCAAATGGTTCCACTGGCTCCCTACAGCTTAATTCACCTAACTAAAAAATGGCTTACTCTCTGTCTCCAGGTTTACCCCAATTCCCGTTATCTGATAATAATCCCATTTATCTCTGTTCATTGCCATTCATTCTTTGAATGTCATACATTTTTTTTTTCTTAGTTTCTTCCCTAAAATGTCTTTCCACAGCTAGTGTATCCTAAAGAACTACCCTTCTACAATCATTAGAAACATGTTTGGTATACACTATAGTTTGCTCTTTCTTTTCACAACTGAATTACAGGCAGCAACCAAATTTAAGCCACCGCTAAGTAGCTTCTCCAGTGGCTCAGTGGTAAAAAGCTGGCCTGCCAATGTAGGGTTTGCTCCCTGGGTTGGGAAGATCCCCTGGAGAAGAAAACGGCAACCCACTCCAGTATTCTTGCCTGGCAAATATCATGGACAAAGGAGCCTGGTGGGCTATAGTCCATGGGGTCGCAAAAGAGTTGGATGTGACTCAGTGACTAAACAATAAGCTGCCCCCGTCTCGTTTTAGACACAAGGAAAACACTGGTAAAAGTGTGAAATTTTCCTTTATTACTCAGATATTCTCCTCTTACTATTTCACACATCACCACTGAATGGTAGTATGAATACTTCCATATTACTGAATACAAAGACCAAAGCTTCCCTCCAATAGCCTTAATCTTAAAAGAATTTTGATATTTGAGGGGAATGACAGAATCAATCCCCCATGGATATGGAGGAACAATTGTATGTTCTCTTAACAGCAAACCTCAATTAAAATAACACTAAAAAAATTTAATTTATACCAGTATAATATTTACTTATTATGTTACTTTCTTTTTTAACAGTTTTACAGCAATACAACTAACATAAAAATAAAACCACATTTAATAGAAAACTTGATGAGTTTGATATGTGTATACCCGGTGAAGCCACCAGTCTCCTCATTCCCCACTGTAATTCACCCTTTCCTTCCCCTGTGCCCTAGGCAACTAATGATCTGCTTTCTGCTACTAAAGAATAGTCTGCATTTGCTAGGGTTTTATATAAATGGAAAACAGCATGTCTCCTTTTTCATCCTTTTTTCTCGGGTAAATACTTAGGAGTGAAATGGCTAAGTGGTATAGCAAATGCGTGTTTATCTTCTAAAGAAACTTCTAAATTGTTTTGCAAAATCATTGTATTATTTTATATTCCCACCATCAGTATGAGAGTTTCAATTTCCTCTAAATCCTTACCAATACTTGTTAAGTTGATCATTCTCTATGTAAGTAATGTTTGACAAAATCAGAATCCCTAAAATTTTACATGGTTTCTTCTATAGTTTTTTTTAAATACCTTTAGCTCTTATGTTGAGGTCTATAATCCATTTCCAGTTAATTTTTATATATGGTGTGAGGTAAGAATCAACGTTAATTTTTTGCACATGGTTATTCAATTGTTCCAGCACCATTTGAAGAAAAGATTACCCCTTCCCCTACTGAACCATGGCATCTTTATCAAAAAACAAACTACATGGGTATGATTGACTATTCTTATTTCTCACTTTGTTTCACTGATCTATGTCTATCTATGCCAATATCAGATTTATTACAGTAGCTTTATAATAAATCTTGAAGTCACTTTACTGAAACCAGCAAATCCTCCAATATTAGCTATTCTATGACCTTTGCATTTTCAAATAAATTTTAAAATCAGCTTGTCAATTTCTACCTGCTTAAAAAAGACTGAAGCATTTTGAGATTACAATGAATCTGCAGACCTATTTGTGAAAAGCTGACATCTTAAAAATATTTATTTTCCAATTCATGAACATGGTATATCTATCTCTCCATTTATTTAGATTTATTTTTTGCACTAGAAGATTCTACAGATAAGAAAGCAGTCATCTAATAGAGGAAGTTTACGAAGACTATGGTAACTACAGTTTAGAACTGGTAAACCAAACAGCTGTGAAAAAAATATTTTTTTAAAATTGTTTAGGGATTATTTATTTTTTGAGACACAGTTGACATGTAACACTGTAAGTTTAAGGAATACAATGTATTGACTTGAAGCATTTATATAACACAATATGACTACCACTGTAGCATCAGCTAGCACTTCCATCACATCATGTATCATTTTATTTTATGCTAAGAATGTTTAAGATCTTGTTTCACAGCACCTGGTACACGGTGCAGTACTGCTAACTATAATCACAGCGCTGTACATGAGGTGCCAGAACTTACTCATCTTCTAACTACAGGTCTGCACTCCTTTGACCAACATCTCCCTAATCCATCTGTTTACACTACTCTCTCATTATCCCTTTAATATCTAAAGGATCTGTGGTGATGTTACTCTTTTATTCCCAGTATTGATAATGTGTGTCTTCTTTTCTCAGTCTTCTCAAGAGCTAGCTTTTAGTTTTACTGGTTTTCTTTTTATTAACCTCCTTATTTATTTTTGTTTACCTTAGGTTTATACTGCTCTTACCTTTCTAGTTTTAATCTTAAGGGGAAAGTTTAGGTTATTGATTTGAAACTCTTCCCTAATAAAAGTGTTTTGAGTTATAATCTCCTTCTAAGCACTGCTTTAACTGCACCCCACAAGTTTTCAGGGATTTATTAAAGAGAAACGAACTTATGAAAAACAGATACTAATGCAAGTAATTCTTGTCTATGGAAATGCAAGCTGAGCCCTGGTGGAATACAGCTATCAATCTATGAATTTTGTTCAGTTTTGTATCCATCTGTAAATTCATTTCAGCATTCCTTATTTGATTATAAACGTGTGGTATTTTGAGTTCTCTTTTGAACTAATTGTACTATCTTACTGGTTCCCTCATTAATGGATGAAATAAATAAAAGCTTTGTTGTGTTTATTACCATATAAGAGTAATACTTTTACTTTTCTAAAAACATTATCTTTTAATACTATTTTATAAACCTGAAGAATGAATGAATTCTGTATCGAGCAATTTAAAAATACTAGTTTTAATTGTTACCACTGTAATTTTCTACTAAATTAGTGAAAACTTTCCTACACTCTTGAAAGTTTATAGAAACTATTTTCCTATGTATTATACTATCATTTAAAACATAAACACAAGGACATTCACTGCAATTAACAATACCTAGAGATATAAGGTAAAATAAGACTGTAAAAATAATATTAAGATGACACTAATATTTAAGTCCTAGAGGTAAGCTTAAAAGTACTAAATATGGTCTCTATTAAACAATATTAATAAAAGTGCTTCGTCCTTCAAGTAGAAATACACATGATTAATCCACGTATTGCATTAACTCATGTAATACATATTAAATCACTGATAAAGGGAAAAAATGTTTTTCTGAGTTCTGTATGGATCCTTATTTCTACTGCCAAGTATTTTGGATAATACTGAACAGTGACCTAGCCACCAAACAAATCAGTGGGTTTTATTTTAAATTACTAATTAGATAAAACTCCATAAAAATATTATTTAAAATACAGCTTCCAACAAAAACTATTTCAAATAATAATAAATCCCAATAAAGCTTATGATCTGTATTTTAAAAACCAAAAGAAACTTCTTAATATTCAAAAAATTTCATAATTTAAGAAATCAATAACTTGTATTTTGGACAATGTACAAGACAGGCACTTTAACAGTTACCACATAAACAGCTATCCAGTCTTCACCATTATGCAATAAAGATTTAAAGATATAGTCTTTTTACCTTTTATTTCCAATAAGCATAATGACCATGTTGGAATTGGAATGCTGGCGGGCATCTTCTAACCAGGTTGTCAAATGGTTGAATGTGTCTCTCCTAAACATAAATGACAATCTGATGACTATTTTCAAAGTATTTTCCCTAGTGCTGTACAATGAACAGTATACATTCCATTAAAGATTATTTTTAGCCATATGCAATGACGAAACAAGAAACAGATTTTAAGTACAGTATCTGGAGTCACAGTTCAATGACTATAGTTCAGTTTAGGAATTAAATGTAACCTCACTTCAGGAAATTCCAATGTATAAATATTACCAAATGGATCAACTTGGGATGCTTATTTATATAAGAGAGCAACTCAGTTACAGATTTCTGTAGGAAATTTAAATTTAATTCAAGATACACGTTTTAAAGGCAAGTAGTCAGGACATAAAGGCAAAGCTATACTTTTACTACTGATACTTGGTAAAATTCTCTGCCTTGCCTACTCAGCCGAACCATCTGCAAGTTCTCACCTTGTAATATCATACACTAGCAAAGCCCCTGCTGCTCCTCTGTAATACGACCGTGTGATGGAACGGAAGGACTCTTGCCCTGCCTGTGAGGAGAGAAGAAAAGGTTGACAGCTCCCTTTAGTAAACAGCCCTGTGTTTCCTTATTATTCATATGTGGAATATAAGGACAGGGAGAGAATGAGTACATAAAGGAAAAGAAGAAATCCTAACTTCACCAGTCTTAGGAAAAAGTCACGTAATACCACTACTGCTCAAGTCAACCAGACGCACAAGCAATCCACACCCCGCCACCCCCAAAACAAGACCTCGAAACCTTTTTTGGCAATCCCTGACAACCCAATTTATTGAATGGCTTCACAATACATGAATCATTATTAGAACACAGAATGGACTCCTAGCAACTAAGCTCTGAAGACAAATTTGAAAGGAAGCAAATAACCCAGAGCCTCACATTTGAATTCAATAACCCACTCCCTGGGGCAGCTGTTGACACTAGAATAAATAAAGTCCATTGTAAATAAATGATGAATGACATCTTTACGCCCACCATCTGCTGGTGTAAAGGTTGTTGGAAGGCCAAGGATGCAGATTTTATCAGTTATATCATAAACTGCAGTGAGCTTTCAACAGTGATCAGATGGAATTCTTTGAGCAATCATTTTATTATGAAAAACAGAAAATGGTTCTGAATTTATGTAATTCTTTTCTCTACACTTAATCAATTTTCTCTGTATTTGATATATAATGCTTGTCAAAAGGCAAGAGGACATAAAGTCATCTTAATACCGACTTGTGAAAACAGACTTCAGAGATACTAGTTAATTTCTCTCTTCTACTAGTGGCACTAATGTTCTGCTTTTTAAGAAAGGGTGGTGTGGGATGTCTTTTGCCTCTGAATTTAAAATTGGGGACAGTTCTTATCGAAAGTAACTTTCCATTTTTAATCATTTCAACCTTTGAGGAAAAAACGGCATGTAAATTAAGTACACAACAAAGTCTGTTTTCACAATTTTTTAATTAAAAATCTACTAACTCCTTGCATTCTGAGTTCTGATCTTCTAGTGTAAATATTCAGTCCTTCCCACCGTCAGAATGCACATGGACAGCTCGGGTTCTGCCCTGTTCTAGTAGTAATACTCAAGTGCTGTCACTGTGGTTCTTCCTATCCTCTGCCTAGCACTGGGTCTGGCAAACACCAGACATGCAGAGAAAGCCTGCTGAATGAAAGAATGAATTCTAATGTCTCAGGCAAATGCACAAAACGATTATCACTCCATTCTGACGTCACATCCATACTGATGTCCGCCTAAATGAGTGGACATCAGTAGGTCCTGACATACTAAGATTCAGTAAAAAAGAACTTCTCCCAGTGGAAACTAAAGAATGAGACCTTCTTTTGGTAACTTAAAAATAATTCTGGCAGTATGTCTTGTGATAAATTAGATACTGAGAAAGCCATCACATAAAAGGGCTGTAAAAACAGCCAACTCATTTCACAGAGTTTGAGGTTAAAACACTAGATACTAGCTGGAAGTATGAAACTATGTACAATTATTTTTATATAATTTATTGAGACACAGCTTTCAAAAAAAATTCAAATCCAAGTTCAAAAGGCAAGCCTTATGGGAATTTCCTCTTCAACTGCTTAGCATGGGAAAACAAAGGACTAGATTTTTAAGAGATCTACTTCACTGTGAATGATATATACCAAGGAAGGATTATGTGGTAAACAATACAAAAAAGATAAGATCTTATGTGTTCAAGACGAAAATCAAGTTTAGAGCTCTTCTACATCCCAAGTCTATACAAGGAGCAAACGTAAAAGTTCTTTAAATCGATCTTGGTGGGATCTTTTGTGGGATGAATTAAAATGAATACAGTTGACCCTTGAACAACATGGTTTTGAACTGTGTGGGTCCACTTATATGTGGAGCTTTTTCAATGGAAAATAGTCTGAGGTTAGTTGAATCCACGAACATGGAAGAACCAGGGATAGGAAGAACGATGGAGAAGAAGGGCCAACTATATATCCAGATTTTTGACCATGGAGGGTTGGCAACCCTAACCCCACATTGTTCAAGGGTTAACTGTACATTGCTACAGATCGTACAGAAGAACTATTCTGAGATCTAAAACTTCAGGGTTCATAGTCCAAATAAGAAATAGTAAAACGGAAACAAACTTAGGAAAAGCACATATCTGCATATTACTTCCATTCCTCCTGAATTGTTTTACAAAGAACAAACAGGTTGCAATATGGAAATAATGTATATTATGCATCACTTTATACTAAATCCACTGGATCTGGATCCTGCCATAATTACAAAATCAAACAAAAATTCAACCAAAAAAATGACATTCCAAGTGATTGTTATGAATGAAGCTATGCATCTTAAAATCTATGATTACTCTGTAATAAGCAAAGATCAGTATTCAGAAGTTTCTTGAGACCTGACTTGTAGGAACATCATCCCATACTCTGGCCTACTGAACAACTAACTGCAGAAAGCTAGCCCAATGGTTAATTATCTTGATCATATTAAAGCAAAGTAATCTAGTCTTTAAAAAACACTTTAATGTAAACCTGTCCAAAGTGTGATCAACTTATACTGTTTTAAGTGAAAAGAAAATGAATATAGGATGTATAGATGTTTTTCATCCTCTTCACTATAAGATGGTGGCTTAAAGAGATCTTAGAAGTTTTCAACTGAACAAGATATAGAATTATTTGTAGAAAGGGATTCCTAATAGCAGCTAATGATATAAAGATTCCCCCAAATTGGCTTCCCTATGTGCCTTTCCGTTGATAACAATTTTTGTAGTAACCAGTTTGGTAATTTAACTCCTCCTCCTCTTCTGTTACCTCCATTAATATACAAGTCTACATGCATCAAACTAGTGTTCAAAAATCTTTACCCTGAATGTAAATCCTAACCTCTTGGGCATCTGATTTCTATTTGTTTCTCTAGACTTTTATATTATTATTCAATAAAAGTCTTATTCATACAGCCATTTTTTTCCTACTGGTATTCTATCCATATTCTGAATATTCCTGCTTCTGTGCCTCTATTTTAACTCTTTGTCTGAAAAATTTTCTCCTCTTTCTACTTCCCCAATATCTATTCCCTTTGAGGACCAGTTCAAGCTCCATAATCCTCTCACAAAGCTAGGAAGCTTGTCCACCACAGCCTATACTTAGCCTTTTCCCCTTCATGTGATCATTTGGGTCTAATACTATTGATTAGATAAAATGAACACACTATTCACATGCTTATCTTTTTTCCTCCTTAGATCTCCTTGAGGGATAGCCCAATTCAGAATACTGAAGTTTATTTATAGAAGACACTCAAATATGTCATCTTCAATGATCCCAAACAGCCAAAAAAGTTAGAAAATTAAAATGTGTGAGAATCAATACTAAAGTAATACCTTTTCGTTTCATTGTTAGTCATTTATCTAACAACTTGGAACATGGAACAGTTACATGGAACACGAAAAACGAAAATCAAGTTTAGAGCTCTTCTATATCCCAAGTTACATGGAACACAGCTGAAAGCTAAAAAGAAAAAAGGATTTCTAAGTAGCCAACTAAGCTGTCCAGGGCCCAAACAAGGAATCTCAGGTACTTTACTCAACTTAAAAATCTAGACCTGTGATCAAGGACTGCTGTTACCAAGGAAAAAGATTCTGAAGTTTACATGCAAGGGTAAGACCCCTGGTTTGGATGACTGCAAGATTAACAAGAATCACAGTAATTTTCAGGCTGTCTTAGTGTCAACAGTAAGGATGGAGAAAAAGTCAACCAGGACTATTTAATTCTAGGTTTTTAAAGGGAATTTCATATAGAAACTTAAGAAGATTCTCGTAAGAGAAATAAAGGTTGCAAAGACCTAAGAAAGAAGAGATGTTGAATGCTTTGACAAATTTAAGAATATTTACTTTGAAAAAAGACTTCAGAGGATGTTAACTGCTGACTTCAGATTCTTTTAACACTGTCATGTAAGAAAAATGAAGATCACAGGTGGGAGGTAGACATTAATGTAGAGTGATTTCAAGTAAAGTATGCAAGGCACAATGTATGAAAAACATTAAAGAATAGTAAGTAGTTTAGTTCACACTACAGTGAAGGATTTGGGTTGCACAAGAATGTTTTATTAGCTAAGGAAGCAAACTGGTTTCTGTAAAACAATCATTTCTGGAAAAGAAGAGAAACTACTAATACAGAAGTAGAAAAGATTTCCTTTTGGTTAGAGATCATTAATTAAAATCTCTAGGAAAGAAGGGAGTTTGCATATTTTATTTTTCTCTTTTCTGTACAGTTTTGAAGTCACATTGCTTAAGAGAACATAAATCCAGAAAGTTATGAGATGCTACAGGTTGGGGCTGGGGGAAACACTAAGAAATGGTGAATGCATAAATTTGCACTACAGAAAGAGGAAACAAGAAAGCATAAAAACAGAGTCCCATATATGATTCTCGAACAGGGCAAGACAGAGATTTAGGGTTTCCCGTTTTGGGATGACTGTGTGGCATATAGGAAGACGAGGAAACCTAGGTCTAATGATAGCCTTCAGAAATTCGCTCAGCATTCTTAAGAATCCAGTCTGTGAGACTGAATATTCTTCAAGATACCTTCTTTCAGTAATGGCTATTAAAGGTGACAGGTGAGACACTAAGACTGTAAGATTAGGAAAAAAAAAAAAGACCAGGGGCATGTGGCAGTAAAATTCCCTGTATTTTCCATTTCATTTACTAGTTGAGAGATATGCTGTTTGTCATCTTAAACCTTTTGGATTTTCTCAACTGGGGTTCCGTGAAGAGTTAAGTCCTAATTGCCCTAAGGTAGTGGTGCTTACAGTGGGATACCTGGACCCCTGGGAGTCCCCGAGACTCCTGAAGCGCCCATGAGGTCCTCCATTCCCCAACTACCTATTTGTGTGAGGCTGTATTCTCTTCAGTTCAGTTCGGTTGCTCAGTTGTGTCCGACTCTTTGCAACCCCATGGACTGCAGCACGCCAGGCCTCCCTGTCCATCACCAACTCCTGGAGTTTACTCAAACTCATGTCCACTGAGTCAGTGATGCTGTCCAGTAGCAAACTGGGCACCTACTGACCTGGGAGTTCACATTTCAGTGTTCTTTTTGCCTTTTCATACTGTTCATGGGGTTCTCAAGGCAAGAATACTGCAGTGGTTTCCATTTCCTTCTCCAGTGGACCACATTTTGCCAGAACTCTCCACCATGACCCATCCGTCTTGGGTGGCCCCACACAGCATGGATCATAGTTTCATCGAGTTAGACAAGGCTGTGGTCCATGTGATTAGACTGGTTAGTTTTCTGTGACTGTGGTTTTCAGTCTGTCTGCCTTCTGACGGAGAAGGATAAGAGGCTTATGGAAGCTTCCTGATGGGAGAGACTGACTGAGGAGGCAACTGGGTCTTGTTCTGATGGGCGGGGCCATTCTCTTCATAGACTTCAACAAAACAACACACGAAAGGCTTGATGCAGAGGGTGACACAAGAATCCAGCTGTCTTCTACTAAGCAGAGTGTAAAGACAATTTTCAAAATGTAACAAAATGACACTCTTCACACTGGAAAATATATTTTTGTCTTGGGGAAAACAGTTAATTTCCATAAAAATTGCATTTTTACCCTAATATACAATGAGTTTATCAGGGTTATTCTACAATCAATCAATAATGAACTGTTTAATAAGTTTCTCAGCCTTAAAGTCTAGTGATAGTGATAGCTATAAGCCACATAAGCAATGGCTCTTTGAGGTCTCTACATATCAACTGTATACAATAAAGTACTTCTCTTTTATGCAGAAGATGGGAAAATAAAGAAAATACTCATGCAAATAACTTTCTGTGGTTCAGATGAGAAACTGCCATTAAAAACTATGTGACAGGATATTGAACTGGTATTCGATGAATGTAAACGACAGGATTGGGAGCAAGGTAGCATCAGGTGCTCAGGACTAAATCATATTTTTAGAATAAACTAATAAACTATCAGATCAAGTGACTCTAAGGTACTGACATTCATATATTTTAACTCACATGTATACTTTAGACATACTGCTTGTTTTTCTTAAAAACACAGTTTCTGAAGCATTTCTATTTAGATCCCATAGCCTGAGCATTTGCTCAAATATGTTCCCCTACACCTGACACCTAGGGTACCGCTGTTGAAAATATTGCATGATAAAAATGAATCTTTTCTGTTACCACATTTTATGTCATGGTTGCAGGTGTCTAACAAACCATAACAGTCATAAAATAACATTAAAACTGAACAAACACACAACAATGTACTTTTATAAAATGACTACTGAGGTCATACAAGGTATCTGTGCTATACTTACCGTATCCCATATCTGAAGTTTTATCTGTTTTCCATCAATAGTTATCATTCGAGCACCAAACTCAACACCTGAATAGAACAGAAAGTGTTTTGTTAGGCAAATTAGTGGGAATATATTTCACATTTAAGGATTTTTTTTTTTTTTTAAAAAGGGTATTTCTAGGACATGCTATGCCAAATGATACACAGATTAACAAATACATCTTCCATCCTTAGAAAATGTATAAGTTAAGGCAGAGGTATTCATAAGACATAGGCTAAGAATATAATTAAACACTAAGATATCCGAGTCTTGTGTAGTCAAGACACCAACTGTGGCCTTCATGTTTTGCAGGCTCAATAATATTAAAAATACTTAGACATGAGATTCAAGAACCAATTTCTCAGAAACTATTAATGAGGTTTAACCATCACTAAAATGGATAGATGAATTTCAAAAGCATAGTCTTAGTTCCATTATGGGTTATCAACCAGGAAAGAAATCTCCAAGTTCATTCACTAGAGATGACACTGTTTAAACATATTTTCAGACATCGCACCATGAATAAATATACATAGAAGCATACAGTTTTATATAAATGGGAACACACAAATGATGTCCTGAAATTTGCTTTTCAGTCACTGTCATAAACATTATTCCATACCACGAAGTACTTTTACAATAAAAAAATTATATAAAACTATACCATTATTTTTAATGGCTACATAATAGTCCTGTGTATTATGTATCTTTAGATATACATGCATTTTATTAAGTTGGTACTCTACTGCTACAAATTTTGGTTGTTTTCAAATCTTCACTAAGTAGTTAATGCTGAAATGAATTTTCTACATATATTTTTCAACTTATGATGATGATTTTGGGCAAATTACAGGAGACAGGACTGCAGGTTAAGGGAATACAAACTTTACACTTATCAGCTTACTACTTTGGCTTTTTTCCTTGCATTTACCATCTTTTGAAAATAATCATTCAATCATCAAAATAGGAGGAGGAGAAAAAGAGGAGCTAATTTCAGAAGAGCAAACAGCTGTGAAGGAGACTCTGCAAGAAGTCTATCACTTACATTACACCAAATCATTACTGCTTGGAGTGTGTTCTTTCAGTATTTAGATCAGAGTCAGGGTGACGGGGAGACACACATGGTCCCCAGAAACCAGATGTCATCCTGGCAGAAAAGCAGCTTTTAGTTGCCCAGGGAAGGGCACGCTGCCCAGTGCCAGAAATTCATTTCAGCATCTCCTATAATTCCCCCAACTGTGATCAGGAAGGTGAGAGAGAAAGGTGATTTACCCTTCCAGGATATGTAACTTGATTGAGTTTTTATTCTGTATTTTATTATTTATTCCATACTAGGTGCAAAGTCAATACAAAGAAACTAATGGTATGTTTCTCAGACTCAGAAATACAGGAAAAGCACAGAGAAAAGACCTAGGAGTCAGGATATACTAGAAAGAAAAATGCAAAACTGTACATTTAACCTCATATAAAACCACTACAGTGTTTACACATCTACCTATCTATATGCATATAGTCATATACCATCTATGCCACAGGATGGGGGGATACCCAAAACAACAATCCACCAGCTTACTCAGTGACATGAAAATGAGTGGCTGAGGAAAGAAACTAGTGGCTAAGGACGGTACAAATGCTCTTTGAAATGCCCACTATTTAAAAGGAATGTCCTAAAGTACAAAATTCTACAGATAGCAAGATAGTTGACAAAATGGAAGCCTTTTCATGAATCTATTGTAGCCACAGAGAGAAATCCTGTTTTTCCTCCCATTGTCATGGAAAGGCTTTTAACCACAATCCAAAAACATCTGCATTGCTCAATGGGATTCAAGATTTCTTAAATCCAATACATAATGTCAAATTTGACGAAAAAAAAAAAAATGGCAAATTAGAAACAGACCCTTGACTGACACCATGGATGGGTAGGCAAGGCAACCAAGGACCAGCACCCTGAACAGAGGGATGAAGGTACTCAAACTGACTGGCAACCATTCCATCCTTTGCCTGGAGGATGGCTGTTATAGTTTCTGCTTTCCAGCCTCTTAGGATGCTTCACTCCTGCCCATTTCCAAGTCCGCGTCCCCACCCTCTTGTGGATTCTACATAAAACTCCAGACACTCTAATACATCCCTTTGCTTAACTTAACCCACAGTTGAGTTTTGGCATATTTAGCCCTTTATTCAAAGTATATATACACAGAGACTACTGACACTTAAAAAGTCTTCAAAGATTTTGCCTTTAAAAACACACTTAATTTTATTTTATTTTCCATTTATTTTTATTAGTTGGAGGCTAATTACTTTACAATATTGTAGTGGGTTTTGTCATACATTGACATGAATCAGCCATGGATTTACATGTATTCCCCATCCCAATCCCCTCTCCCACCTCCCTCTCCACCCGATTCCTCTGGGTCTTCCCAGTGCATCAGCCCCGAGCACTTGTCTCATGCATCCAGCCTGGGCTGGTGATCTGTTTCACCCTAGATAATATACATGTTTCGATGCTGTTCTCTCGAAACATCCCACCCTCGCCTTCTCCCACAGAGTCCAAAGTCTGTTCTGTACATCTGTGTCTCTTTTTCTGTTTTGCATATAGGGTTATCGTTACCATCTTTCTAAATTCCACATATATGCGTTAGTATACTATATTGGTCTTTATCTTTCTGGCTTACTTCACTCTGTATAATGGGCTCCAGTTTCATCCATCTCATTAGAACTGATTCAAATGAATTCTCTTTAATGGCTTGAGTAATATTCCATGGTGTGTATGTACCACAGCTTCCTTATCCATTTGTCTGCTGATGGGCATCTAGGTTGCTTCCATGTCCTGGCTATTATAAACAGTGCTGCGATGAACACTGGGGTGCATGTGTCTCTTTCAGATCTGGTTTCCTCGGTGTGTATGCCCAGAAGTGGGATTGCTGGGTCATATGGCAGTTCTACTTCCAGTGTTTTAGGAAATCTCCACACTGTTCTCCATAGCAGCTGTACTAGTCTGCACTCCCACCAACAGTGTAAGAGGGTTCCCTTTTCTCCACACCCTCTCCAGGTTTATTGCTTGTAGACTTCTGGATAGCAGCCATCCTGACTGGCGTGTAATGGTACCTCATTGTGGAAAAACACATCTAATTTTAAAACCATGTTATATGAAAAGCAAGACTGTTTCTAAAGCAGGAAAATACAGAAAGATTGCCATTTTAACTTCACTTATTAATAGAGTCAGGACAGAAAACAAAAACAAGAGGCCAAGAAACTAGTTTTAAAAGGCTACTACTATATCATCCAGGAATGAGATAAAAATCTGACAAGCACAGCTGATTACTGAAAAACTATAATTTCTGTTTTCCTATCAAGTGAAACAGAAACAAAGAATTCAATTTTAGCTTCAAAAACATAACTCTTTCCAATTTACCTTCTCATAACTGGGTTCATTCAGTGCAGGCTTTACCTTTGTATTCCATGTGGTAAAAGAAAATGCTGAAAGCTGAAATGTCCTAGAAGTTTTAGAAACAAACAAAAACCCAAAACCTTACACATCTCCTCTGGACTGTAAAAATTTTAAATTGTTTTAGTTAAGTATATATTTGTACATGTACGTGGGTATGTATATGCTTAAGAAGCTTATTGAGAAAGTTTTATTTCTTTTTTATGAGATAAACCATCATCCCCTACACCCTTGAGCCTCTCTTCCCAGATACATTTTCAATTAACAGCCAATTCTGGCTGCCAGAGAAATTATCTGTGGAGCCAAAGGCCAGGCCTCATTTACCTGACACTGTCAGGGAGTGATACTTATTTTTTCAGATGTTACTCACTTCCAACCTTCCAGGACAAAACACTCTGAGCGTAAATACACACTTTCTAAATTACCTCTGGATCATGATCATCCTTGTAGAGTAAGTGCTTGCATCCTTGCATAGTAAACATTTATTTAGTATTTAACAATCGATACCAACTAATTGTGTGACCCTGAGCAAGTTACTGTATCTCTTCTGTTTTAGTTTTTATTTGTAAATGGTATTAATGATACCATTAATCATTAATATCCATCTCATAAAATTTCTTCAAGATTAAGAGTTATATTACATATGTGGAATCTAAGAAATGATAGAAATGAACGTATTTATAAAAATGAAAATACAGGCACAGAAAACAAACTTGCGGTCATCAAAGGGGATGGGGGTGTAGACATAAATTAGGAGTCTGGGATAAACACAGACACACTACTATATATAATATAGGTAAACAACAAAGACCTACTGTATAGCACAGTACTCAAGATCTTGTAATAATCTATAATGGAAAAGAATCTGAAAAAGAACATATATATGTATAACTGATTCACTTTGCTGTACATTTGAAACTAACATAACATTGTAAATTAGTTATACTTCAATTTAAAATAAAGTTACCACATGCCTCAGTTACCATATACTTATTGCCTGGCACACAGTAAGTATTTTGTACGGATCCATTATTATTTCATACTACACTCCAAGATTTCTAACTAATGATGACACGTCACTCATGACGTGACTACTGATGACAGTCCCAATGAAACAGGACCCCCTGCCAGAGCCAGGGCATGTGGAGGTGCGGAGGCAGAGTGAGGCTCCTCCCCGGAGATGGCGCTGCCAAGCAGACAGCAGGATGGTATCAAGTTAACAGCCATAAGGAGCCTTCCTTAGACTGTCTTGAGAAAAAAAAAGGATCTACTCCTGGAACTTAGAAACTGCAGAGGTTCAAAACAGAGACTGGTGGGGAAGAAGGCTGATACTCCTAGAAACAAAACTATAGATACTAGCAAAAACAAAAGGTATAGATATTAGCTAAGAAAAAATTATGACTTACAGATAAGGCCAAAATGTCTACCTAGAACATGCAAAATAATTAAACAATAGTAATGGTGGGAAAAACCTGTTTACAATAGCAACAAAATCCATAAAATACAAAAATAATGTAAAAGCACAAGACCTTATGTAAAACTTCACTGAAGAGCATTTTAAAAGCCGGAATAAAAGAAAATATCTTATGTGTATAAATAGCTAATTTTAATACAGTAAAAACATAAACTAAGCCGGAATAAAAGAAAATATCTTATGTGTATAAATAGCTAATTTTAATACAGTAAAAACATAAACTGTCTCCAAACTAGTCCATAAATTTAATATTATTTCCTACCAAATTTTAAAAGCCTCACTGAAAATTTTGCAATTTGGCAAACACACTAAAGTTCAACTGGAGAACAAATGTACAAAAATAATTAAGAAAATATTTTAGAAATTTAGAAAATGTTTAGAAAAGGAAAAACATCAATCACACATTAAGTATCTAGAAAGTGACTGTAAATGCCAGTATGATACTGCCTCATGAAATAGAAAAAAAAAAAAAAAGGAAGAGAAAGTCCCCAAACAGGCTGACATACATACAGAGATTTAGCAGATAACAAAGGCTAAATCAAATAGGAAAGAAAGAATGGCTGATTTAATTAATGGTGTGGGGCCACAAGTTATGTAGGGTTTAAAGAAAATAACCTACATGACCATATACCAGATGAAGTATAAATTTATAGTATGAGAATATTTTAAAGAATATGTATATAATTCATATACACAAAAGGGCATCCCTTTCTTAGTAAGACTTGAAAGTCATAACAAAAAGCATCAATGAACTTGACCAAAGAAAACTAGTAGTAGAGAGGGCAAAGATAAAAACACATAATTCAAAGGAAAGACACAGAAGTGTTTCTCAAACATATTTTAAAAAGTTCAGCCGCACTAAAAACTAAAGAGTTGAAAAGTCAAATAGCAACTTTACTCCCTCCAATTCACAAATATTAAAGCCATTCATAAGCTGCAGTCACAGCAAAGGTAAGAACAGGTACTTTAGTACATCCGTGGAGGAAAAGCAAATGAGAACAGCTTTGTATGTGTTTATGATATATTTACAAACTCTAGAAGGTGATACACATACCAAACTCTTCACAGTGGTTGCTGGAGGGCCAAAGGCAAGTTTACATGGGGAATTTAACCTTCTTTGGACTTTTACAGTGTTTTCATAACAATCACAACCTGTCAGGAAAATATCTTTATGTTCTAAGATCAGGAAAATGGTCTTTGTTAGATCTGAACCAGATGTTCACAAGGTCTTTTAAGCTATCTTCCGAGTTCTTGGCAATGACATTCTAAATAACTTCATCAGAAAATTGAACCCCAAATAAATGAGGCATACTTTTAATTGGTCTCTTGTGGGGCACCTGATATGGGAAATGATACCACCTTTTCCCCAAGAGTATACTTTCACTTTCAGTAGTCACTTCTTAGAGGTTGACGGTTTAAAGTGAGGGAGAGAGGAAGCAAGGTGTAATGAACATGTAAATGGCCTAGCTTCTGGATCAGTATTTGTCAAACTGTCCACTAGTAGGTAGTAAAATAAACCCAGTGGGAATGAGTGGGCTATAACTAAGAGGAGGGACAAAGCAGCTGAGGGTGTACACAGGAGTAATTATAATGACATAATTATAAGGCTTAGAATTAAAGCTAGGTAAGGGGAGAAGTAAGAAAGCAAGAGGGGTGAGAGTACAAAGATGGCAGAATCAATGGATTTTACATCTGATGGGGTAAATAAACTTTTAGCGTTAAGAACTAGAAGGTGTGTGAGCTGAAAGGACGGCAGGGGTGGTCAGATAGCCAGTCACAAGAATCCAAGACTCTGGAGTAGTTCCAGACGCTGCTGACAGAAAGGTCCTGGGCAAGACTGGGCGGGCAAGGAGCTCAGTGGAAGCAGGATCACAGAAGAAGCGCAGTAAAGGAAGTAAAGAAGAAGTAAAGAAGTAAAGAAGTAAAGGAAGCGAGGGGCCAGGATGTGTGCGGGCGTGTGCATAGGGTCAACAATATGAAGCCTATTTCCACCTGGGGAATCGACACACATATTCACAAAGCCACTGGTCCAGTGATTCTCAGCCTTTAATGCTCATGTGAATCACCTGGAGACCCTGTTGAGATGCAGAATGGAGCCAGTAGATCCTGTAACCGGAGAGGGCAATGGCACCCCACTCCAGTACTCTTGCCTGGAAAATTCCATGGATGGAGGAGCCTGGTGGGCTGCAGTCCATGGGGTCGCTAAGAGTCGGACACAACTGAGCAACTTCACTTTCACTTTTCACTTTCACGCACTGGAGAAGGAAATGGCAACCCACTCCAGTGTTCCTGCCTGGAGAATCCCAGGGACGGGGAGCCTGGCGGGCTGCCGTCTGTGGGGTCGCACAGGGTCGGACACGACTGAAGCGACTGAGCAGCAGCAGCAGCGGATCCTGTCACAGCTCTCACACAATGCCGATGCTGCTGGTCCAGGGCAACAGCCCTTGAGCCACCCTCTTGATGGCAAGGCTGGGGTCTGGATCCTCGCTGAAACTGTGCCCAGGAAGATATTTATAGATGGCTCTTTGATTCCCAGCATAACAATTCTCACTGAGATAGCAGTCAAAGGGTAAAGAACATTTTATATAGTCTTCCCTTGCCTTTTATTTTCTCTTTGCTATCAGTTAATAATTCTTCATCACGACCCAACCTTAACCTTGTCACCTTTCTCTATTCATCAAGCAAAAGTAAGTATGCAACAGAATCAAGACACTGCCTCATGCCTACTTTAGCACTCATTCTACACTCCTAGAAAAAGTATGTACTAAGGAGCTTCTAAATTATTTCTATGTCAGAAAAATAAATTCTTGTGATGGGTGTCATGAGTATAGTAGTTGGTGTCCAACAGGAAAAACAGAAACCATACCTAAGTATTTAAAACAGAGGGGATTTAAAGTAGAGAACTGGTTATGTTGAAGGCAGGGCTGAGAAACCCAAGGAGCAGAAGGTAAGGCAACCCAGAGATCAGGAACAGCCGGAAGCTGCTGCTGTCCCCAAGCTGGGGGGCAGAGAGAGAAACCAGGATTTCCAGAGCCCAGGAACCAGACCACGAGTGACCCTGACAGGAAGGGGCTTGTACTGAAGCCATGGAGGACACACAGTAAACCCTGGCAGAAAGGGGAGAAGACCATCGGCTTCTTTTTGCAAGCCGGCCGGTACAGTTACATGAGTTATGGTTTGCTGAGAACTCCCTCTGATCTACTTCCCCATCTCTCTTCACAGCAGAGCCTGTCCTCTGACAGCAGCGAGGCTCAGGCCTATCCTCTCTACTGGGTGTGCTTCAATGAAAAGGAAGACACTTTTGACAGTACCTTATAAAAAAAACAACATGTCTCGGGACATAGTCATCATGCCCAAGAGGTGGCCTCAAGGTGCAGACCTATTAAAGAGCAGATCCCTACAAAAAAGGAGCTCCCCCAAGTTAAAACGCATCATGAAAACCAGCATGAAAAAGCAGCACCTGTTTTACCCATCATCAGCAGACATAATTGCAACTACCAAGATGAAAATGGAATCTGCATATTCTTACTCTGAGTAGCCAGTGAGGAAAGATGTTTAATACATGCACAAATACATTAGGCTTGGCTGAATACCATCAACTGATCTAATAATCTGATTTATAAACTGTATCTTTGATTTGGTACTTTAACAATACACAGGACATGAGAATCAACTTGTTATGAATAGTGAGTTAATGATACCTATAGAAAATAAGCAGTCACTGGTTGAAAATACACATTAAGCTATTAGTTGTAAAGTTTAACTAGATTTCCAATTACCTTATTTATACATGGTTGATTAATCTCTATTGCAGCCATAGAAGAAGAAATCTAGATTCTTTAGCTTTCGGGGTGTAATTTTTTAAAACAGATTAAGAACCCTGCAATAGCACACTTACTTAAAGTTTTTAGTTTTTCACTTAATTTTATACTTTTGCATATTAATGATAATATCACTAAAAACAACCAGTAGAGCTAACAGTAATAATAACTAAAATTTGTTGACCAGCTCTTACCAGGAACTCATTTATTCTTCACAATTGAAGAAACTACCAAATGCTTGATGGTAGTTTTTCTGGATTAATAATTACAGGCTGGCCTGGAGCACTTACCACACTGCTAGTCACTGTTTCAATGCATCACATTTACTAACTCACTTACTGTTCATAATGATTTTGTGAGATGGTCCTACTACTTTTCTCATTTTACAGACAAAGAAACTGAGGCATGGAGTGGGGAAGGAGTGTGTCCGGCTAGTGGCAGAGCCCTGATGCGAACTCCAACAAAACGGTCCACAGTCTCTGCTCTTACCCACCCGTCTTGAGATACACTGAGATATACTATCTCTCGATCTTCTGTTTCATCGTTAAATACAATCAAGATCAAGTATGATTGTCTGCTGCATTCCAACCACTCTTACAGAGTTGTGTAATATTATTTTTACTGTAGATACAGATATTTTAAACCCAGTTATGGAGACTAAACTCCAGTACAGCAACAGATCTAGTTTCACTGATTTCTGACTTCTCACTTATGCAATGAGCCCTCTAGCATATTCCATGTCCACTACCCCAAACTTGTGAATGTGTCTCATCTCTTTATAACACTTACCAATAGTAAGGTCATGCACTGGCTGAAACCTCTTGTCTGTAAACTGTAGCAATAAGCATGATTTACCAACACCTGAAAGTTAAAAGAAAAAAAAAATTAAGAGAAAAATTCAGAGAAATTAAGAAATACTTCATAAAAGCACTTAGAAGAGAGACATTCAGGGTTCCCAGTGCTCTGAGAGCAATGGTGCCATGCTTTCTCAGTGCTATACCACTGATGTGAGTGAAAGGTGGTGACCAATCCAAAACATCCTTTTCATCCTTCATGTTCATTCCAGCATTTCAACCTGGAAGATGGGAGTGGCAGGAACTTCCAGAAGACAGCCAAGCAGCCTCTACCACAGGATTCATGCAGTGAAGTGTTCCTGCACTCTTGCTTTTTCTGTAGTAGTGAAAACATTTAAAAAACACAGCACTTTCCTCTTTTTATAGTTTATTTTACCTTGGTCTCAAAAAACCAAATAAACAAACAAGAAATAAGTGTCTGGGATCTACTTTAGTGGGAAAACTGCTTGTTCTATCTTCTGGCTGATTCACTTTGAAAGTGAAAGTTGCTCGGTTGGGTCCAACTCTTGACAACTCCATGGACTATACAGTCCATGGAATTCTCCAGGCCAGAATAATGGAGTGAGTGGCCTTTCCCTTCTCCAGGGGATCTTCCCAACCCAGGTCTCCCGCATTACAGGTGGATAGATTCCTTACCAGCTGAGCCACTAGGGAAGCACTGATTCACTTTGGAATTGACTTTAATCTGAATGGCATTCCTTCACTCTTACCATTGAAGTCTTGAATAACTTCCCAATTTTCAAGTTAAAGGCAAAATTTCTATATACATCCTACTTGCCCTCTGAGGAGAACTGAATATTGAATATCACACCACTTCCTACTCATTTTCAGGCCCATAACCTTCAGTTCAGTCACTCAGTCGTGTCCAATTCTTTGCAACCCCATGAATCGCAGCATGCCAGGCCTCCCTGTCCATCACCAACTCCCGGAGTTTACTCAAACTTATGTCCATCGAGTCGGTGATGCCATCCAGCCATCTCATCATCTGTCATCCCCTTCTCCTCCCGCCGCCAATCCCTCCCCATAACCTTACAGGAGACCAAATCTGCTTACTTGGTAGCATCGTGCACTTACGAAACACAAAGGTAGTCATCATTCATTCATCCATTGACTTATTCACAAAGTCTCTGCTGAATGCTATCACATGGAAAATGATATGCTTGCTTCCTTACAGTCTAGCACAGGGAGAGAAATTAAGCAGAACAGATGCCCAAATAATCTGTATGAACTGTAACTTAAGATAATTCTAAGTGCCATCTGAAACAAGAAAATAAAGTACTATGAAGAAGAGTAACAGAACAGACTTCATTTAGACTGAAGGGCTGAAGAAGGTCTTTCCTAAGTGACACAAACTGAACGGTTCAATGTCTTCTAGGTTATTCACTCAAATGAGAGAAGGACAATGAATACCTTGTCACTTGCTACCTGTCTTAAGGCAGAGAGAAGTCACTCAATAATTTTGCTGAATGAGTGGCCCTAGTGTCAAGTGTCAAATTGAACAGTAACAAATCAAAGACAAATTCTGTGTGTGTGTGTGTGTGTGTGTGTGTGTGTAGTGCTTTTTTTTTTTTTTTTAACTTTTGCTTCTTTTTAAAAAAGTTTTGGCCTTATGGGGCAGCATATGAGGTATCAGTTGTGGAAGCATGAATTCTTCACCACTGGACCATCAGAGAAGTGCCCCATATGGCTGTGTTTTAGGAAGTATTTTATTTGTTCAAACTTCTTTGAACGTTTTAAGATTCTAGTTAACTGAAAATAAGTTGGAATTTCAAAACATTTGACTTTTTTTCTCTTGTATTCTCTTTTACATTACAAAAGGCACAAACCCATTAGATTTCTAATACCCCTTCAACAGCCTTGCAGGTCTAGGAGAGAAAGGAAAATTATTATTTATTAAGTGTTAAAGTACAAAATAGGTGAGCAACTGAGATATGAATCTTCCGTTCTGCTTTTAAAAAGAGACTTTATCTTTCAGAGTAGTTGTAGGTTCACAGTGAAACTGAGCAGGAAGTACAGCGAGTTCTCACAGCCTCCCTACCCAGGGAGCGCAGCCCCTTCACTACCAGCCTGCTGCACCAGCGCTGTAACGCTTGTCACAACTGACGAACCTGCCCTGACATGCCATCACTCAAAGTCCACAGCTCATATCTAGGTTCATTCTCGGTGTTCTCCATCCTGTGGATTTCACAAATGTATCATGTATCCACCGTCACAGTGTCACACAGAATACTTTCACTGCCCTAAAAATCCCCAGTGCTCCATCAGTCCTGCCCCCTCACCACTCATCTTTTTACTGCTCCGTAGTTCTGCTTCTCTCTGACTGTCACACGGCTGGAATCATACGGTATGTAGCTTTTCCAGATTGGAAACCTCTTTCACTTAGCAATATGCACTCAAGATTCTTCTTTTTTCTTCATTTCTATTTTTAGCATTCAAAATTTCCCCATATGGTAGAGAAAAAAGTTATAATTAGAAATTACAGATTTTATTACTGAGGGACCTCAAGAATCATCTCACAGTCTGGTAATTACTTCAGTGATACAAGAACCTGAAACCCTCTTCTTATCTCACAACAGAGTATGGATTGCTCTGGTAATAGCAATACCACTTACTCAGACCAAGTACTGACTTCATTTTCAAGATACCATATTCTTTCTTCAGATAATCAAAGTATCTTTCAAAGCAGAGAATATATCCAAGTGCCACTATGGTGTTTCCCAGGTCTCCTTAGTCACCTACCTACTGATCATTTGTCAGGATCAGTTAAGTTTACAGATAGCTTATCTTATTCAATATATGTTGACTTATACTATTTTAATTCTGGATAAAATACTTGGGGTTTCTGGCTCACAATCACGAACACTTTTCCAAATTGCCAAATTGAATTGGTTAGGCTTTTTCTCAGTCCTCAATTTATTTGATCCAGAAACATGATCTGTTTGTGCCATAAAATATTTCTATATAATTTATCTACCTACAACCTCCTTGAAAATGACGATTTCTGGCTTTTTCAGGCTGTAATCATCTCCTTGGTCCCTTAATTCTGTGACAACTGCTCCTCTTCTTAAATACTGGAGGTTTCACCACCATTTCATCTTTGGTTATCTTTTCTCTTCAGCTGACAGAACTAACTCAGTCCTGTAGCCCCAACGTACATCTATAAATTAGTGATTACCAAACCCATCTCTCTAGCCACCATCTTAATTTCATTCTCATTATATCCAACTGCCTTCTGAACATGTCCACTTTAACTCTTTCAGGTTGGGAATGCAAACTTGTAAAACCTAATCCATTCTGTTTCATGTTCCTGCCTACCATTCTTCCAACAACTCAAGAGTCACCTTCAGTATTTTTTTATCTCTGGAGTTGGTTCCCAATGGATCACATCAACAAGAAAATCACTTAATTCCTTTTCTTCCTACAGCTAATGGCTCACCAATCTCATCAGTTCTCTCAGAAATACACTGAATTCCATTCTTTCCCCTCTTAATCCTCAGTGCTCCAGTTCTGGCTCTCAATAAGACATGGTCTTTCTGCCTTCCACCTTTGCCTCAAATCTATTTGTATAAACCTCTGAAAAATTTTGGTAAAATGCACATATATAAAATTTAAGCCCTCCAAAACACTAAACAACATTCTTTGAGAAATTGTTATCCCAACAGATCATATTCTCACACCACGGTCTAGAAAGCCTGTGGTTAAGCACAATACATCACATTCTGTCCCCTGAAATGACACCACATTCCTTCTCTGGCATCTCTTACCAAGGAACTTGTCACTCCTTGGCAACTCTAAACTCATGCTTAGAGATTCCAAAGCTTTCTTCACTAAAGCACTCCTGTTCCAAAGATCCTATCAATCCCCATGCATAACCAATATGGGGATTGGTTCCTTGGGTTTCCATAGTATTTTCTTGATGCCTCAAAAGCCTGGTTAGAATCCTAACTCTGTCACTTACTAGCTGTAACATGGGGCAAGGAAACTGACCTTTCTGAACTTCAAAATTCTATCTATAAAACTGGGGAAATTCCTATACTTTCTTTGGTGCACTGTTGTAAGAATCAGATGAAATAAATAGAAAAGGGCCCCTGTACAGTAAGAGTTACCTGGGTCCAGTTTATAAACCTTCTCTGAGGTATATATTTAGGACATGTGCCTTTTTCTATAAGCACAATATACTTCAATAAAAATGAAAACACCGTGATGGTCTTTCTGATGCATCAACTTGACTAGGCCCCTTCCAATTCCTGGGTGCTGCTGTGAAGCCATTTGGTAAGATGTAATTAAATTATAAGTCCACCCTCAGTTTCATAATGGTGTAAGTTTCACTCTTTTCTATGTGGCTGTCCAGTCTTCCCAACATCATTTAATGAAGACTGTCCTTTCCCCACTGTATACTCTGGGCTCTCTTGTCATAAATTAATTGACCACATATGTATGGGTTTACCTCTGGATTCTTTACTCTGTTCCACTGATCTATGTCTATGTCGATACTAATACCATACTGTTTTGAGTACAATAGCTTTCTAAGATATCTTGAACTCGGGGAGCATGGTGCCTCCAAATTTGTTCTTCTGTCTAAAGATTGCAGTAGCTACTCAACCACTCTAACAGAAATTGCTGCACTTAACAGTTGTTAGAGTTTCTACTGTGAAGTCCCCTTACCTTCTTCCTTTACTCAGGGTCCAATACACTGTCCTCAGCAGGCCTAAGTGCTGTGGTGAGAACTGACTACCTGATTACCACATCAATGCCAAACAACTACAAGTGACACTCATTAAAAATGTAGATTCCTAAATCTCGTTCCAGAGATTCTGATTCAGTCTTTGGTTAGGCCCAAGAATCTAATTAATAAACCTCCAGTGATGTTTTTAGGCAATGGAGCCTTCTCCACAAGGAGTATTGGTATAAGTGCTAGGGTATTCTACTGAAGATTATTATTCTAGTCCTAAATCAACTTCCACCAATTTCAAGATAATTTAAAAAAACTGATGATTGCTCCATTTT